TCGGCAGGCTTGTCAGCGGGCTTGTCGGCAGGCTTGTCAGCGGGCTTGTCAGCGGGCTTGTCTTTGTGTTGATGGTCGCCATCATCACCCTTGGGGCCGGGAGGTCCTTGCTTGCCTTCCGGGCCCTGGTTGCCCTTCGGGCCTTCGTCGCCGCGCTTGCCGTTCTCGCCGCGCTCTCCCTTGTCACCCTTGGCGCCCTTGTTGCCACGATCGCCTTTGTCGCCCTCGTAGCCTCGAGGACCGCGCGCACCGCGGTCGCCCTTCTTGCCAGGCTTGCCCTGGTCGCCCGTCTTGCCACGCGGACCTGGTGCGAGGTGCTTGTCGTGCTCGTGAACATAGCCTTGTGTGTAGCCGTGCACGTAGCCTTCGGTGGCGTAGGCATCGTCGTCGTCGACAAAGTTGCGGAGGCCACCCTTCGTGTCGTCGCTGTCTTGGCGGTCACCATAGGCGGCGTCCGCGTCATCGCCGTAAGCGTAGACGCTAGACCGATCGGCCTCCATGCTCTTGGCCGCGATCATCGGCGCCGCGAGGACGGCCGCGAGGAAGACCTTCTTCATCCTTGGCCGCGTATTCGGAAATGCCACTTGCGATCGACGCTCGCCATGCTACCGGCGGCGATCTTTGGCGAGAGTCGCGCTCTGTGATTGGCCCGATTTTTTGAGATCGCGCCTTCTGATTGGTGGCGAAAGTTTGACTTTGGAACGGACCTCGAAGCTCGCTTCATCGAAGTTGGGAACAAGCTTGGGATCTGCGATTTGCACGGCTGCGTCGAAGTTCGAAGCGGGGTTCCATTTCGAAACGCAAAGATCGCGCGCGTCTCGCGGTCCATCAAGCGCAGCATACTCTTGCTCAAGTTGGCTCGTACAACTCGTTCTATCTCGCTCGATGGGCATCCTTCTGTGGGATCCATGCCACAGCAAATTTTGCTTTCGCAATAGTCCAAAATGAATACTCACAAAAAATGAATACTCAAAGTCATTCGCAGCATCGCTCTTGATAAGACTTCTACTAGTAGTGACCCTCTTGCATTGCGCTGCTCACTTGCACCCCCAAATCGTATCCCGCCCAGGACCGTGCAAGCACCTTCTACCGGTATCTGAGGTTGATCGATGACGCATCAGGACTCGTCGTCTTGCGAGGAGCTGGCTGTTTCAAGCAAGCTTAGCTTATTTCGAGCACGTATCCGGCGTTTTCTTGGCGCGCGGTGATTGGCTCCCAAAGTTTGTGCCGATGGCTGATTGGTGCCCAAACTTTTCGCGATCTTCCTGCAGCGCGACTTGCGATCTTTAGGCGTCGCGCGCTCAGATCTTATCATTTTCGCATTTGCCGGCGACTGCGAGCATGGTCAACATCCAGTACCTCGCGCTGGCGGCGGCGACGACCTCGACGGTCGCCAGCAGTCGTGGCATCAAGCAGCGCCCGATCACGTTCGCGCCGCCCTTCAAGAGCATCGATCCATCGTACTTTTCGACGATTCTCGGGAGCTTCAAGACGTGTGTCAGCACGTGCGTGAAAACCACGTCGTACGCCGACGCGAGCAAGGACGCGTGGACCGCGTTTGGGACGCTCGGCCGCTACACGGCGTGTGCGACGTCGTGCGTGGCCACCGAAGTGCTCAACACGGTCGGCTACTACAAGTCGACGTACGGGCTCATCTACGACGTGTACGCCAACCACCTCGAGCAAACAAAGAAGTACCTCGCCGGTGCGTCCGACTTCGACATGATTGGCAACCGAACGCGCGTCGACTACTCGTGCTGCCTCCCGAACGAGTACTTTGTGCCGTGGGAGCAAGTGACGGTCGAGGTCTTTGCGTTTTACGAGCCCGCAGACAAGTCGTTCAAGGCCAACACCAAGCTCAACGACAACGGTATTCCCGTCAACGTGCGCGCCGACAAGTACCTCGACTACTGCGCGCAGGACAAGGGCAAGAACCCAAAGTTGACGGCGTTTGAGGCAAACTACCTCGACGGCGGCGACGGCACGGGCGGCCTCAAGCTCTACTGCGACGAAGGCCTTTTTTACTACCTCTCAATCCTCAAGGGCAACCTCGGCCAGCAGATCATTCATCCCGACTACGCCAAGCAAGTGCCTAATGGCGCGTGCACGAAGCGTACCAACTGCGACGTGACACTCAAGCCCAACCCGGTCGGCGTCTGCTACGACGGCAGCGTCTGTATCGTCGAGAAGACGCGCATCGTCGACGATAAGGGCTCGAGCGTCGACTCGGAGGACGAGTACGACTACCTCACTGACACGGTGGTGACCAAGCCGAGCGAGAAGGGCACGTGCGACAAGGTCAAGCTGCTCTGGGACAACAAGAAGAACCGGTACCTCGAGCTCACGATGCTCAAGGTGAGCGGCGCAAGCCTCAACCTCTTCAAGGTCACGGGTCTCCCGCGTTTCAAGTCGTCAAGCCGACAGTGTGAATTCTCTGGCGAGCTCGGCACGCGCGACATCAAGATCGTCAACAAGCTCGCTGTCGAGTGGGTGTGGGACCCGCTGGACTGGGTCTGCTCCGAGTGGTACCAGTGGATCGACTTCAAGGGTGACGACGGGAAGCGCTACCACCACGGCAACGTCGAGTACTGCAACGCGCGCCAGTACGCCAACCACCTCACGCGTGAGCTCTTCGACTACACGCAGTGCCCGTTCTACGACTTCCAGCTCAACCAGGAAAAGTCGATCGCGGATCTGTACCAAAGCGAAGACGCCAGCAGCATCGAGCTCTCGACGTTGTACGGCATCTTCGACTTCAACCCGGGCTACTCGATCGCGTGCCTGTACCGCATCGTGAGCCTCAAGTGCGACTGCATGCGCGCGGTCGTCAACTGCTACGAGAACGAGAATGCGTACTCGAGCGTGCTCGGCAAGACGCTCGGCCGCGCGTCGTCGATTCTCTGCGGCTTCATCTTGTGCCAGCAGCCCTCGATCTACCGCATGTTTGCCGACGCCGACGGCCTTCGACACACGGTGATCATGTCGGAGATTTTGCTCCAGACCAACTTGCTGGATGCCACGTCGCCGTCGTCAGTGGCGGCGATGGTCTTGGTCTCGTTTGGCCTTGGCATGGTCGCATTTGTTGCGCTCAAGCACGCGCGCGCGGCGACGACCGCCAAGAGCTCGATGGAAGACGGATATCGCAATCTTATTTAGACAATATGGTGCACAATCTGGCTCCCAAGAGTGTTATACACAAGTACTACGATTCGTCATGACGATTGTGGATGTAATATGAATGGACTACACATGACTTGTCTTGATGCCACCAAGCAACTCCTCTTTCAAAAAAAGTATCAAAAGTGTATCAACTTGACAAGTCGATCTCAAAAACCTCCAAAATGAAAGAAAGATCGGCGGGGCCGCAGCTCGAGGTCGCCGACACGGCCGCGCACATCGCGCTGCCAGCGCGCCAACGTCGCCGCGAGAAGTGGCTCGTGAGGCGAGTGCTCTTGGAGAAAGTCGTGGACCGCGCGCAGAAGGCCATTCGTACACACTTGGGCGTCGTACTTGCGCTGCTGGCGCGTGGCAAACCGGCGGCGCCAGCGCGGTCCACGCGTCTCGATGGTGACCGTCAAGTCTTGGTAGTGCGAGTACTCGTCCGTGAGCACGACTCGGTCCATTTTGCCCAGTGTCCCGTCGTCCAAAATACTCGTATGTCCCCGTCTTCTTCTTCTTCGACTGCCAACCGACGTGTTGTTCCAGCGACGCGCCTGTCTCTGCAGCACCTGCGCGCAGTCGTCTTGTTCGACGAGGCAGCTAACGTCTCGTGCACATCGAAGCGGGTAGCGAGGCCCTTCGGGAGGCAGAGTGCATGGGACCAATATTAAATTCTAGCGGATTTTCAATTACTTTCTAGCGGATCCTCTGTAGGGGCGTTGCGCGCTCTCAGACTCAAGTGCTGCATGCTGCTAGAGCTTGGTGAATGGCTCTTGTCCGCCCTGCTTTGGTCATGGCCGAGTGGACCGGTAAGTTTGATCTCCATGTGAAATCCTTTGATTTTTAGCCAATCAGAGCGATAGAGGATGCTATGCCGACCGCGATTGGCCTAAAACCGACGGGCCAATATGAACGCGACCGACGTGGGCGTGACGCATGTCCATGGCGTGAACCCGCAGCACCTCGTGGTACGACTGCTTGCTCGCGTCTACCTCGCTCGTATCTCCATGTGTCTGCTTCGTCTAGGAGAAGATCCTCCGGAATCGCATCTACGACTGCATGTACTGGAAGGGTACGCTTGGCGTTGCCGCGGCGCATACATCCTCATCGTCGTCTTCGTAGAGCATTGCTTCGGCCTCACGGAAGAGACGCTTGTCGAGAAGGCGATCGACCTCAGCTACATTGCTGGCCACTTTGGCGGCAACCAGCAGCCGTCGCCGTTCCTGTGCTTGCTCCTCAAGATGCTGCAGATGCAGCCCGACATGGACGTCGTCATGACGTTCATCGAGAACGGCGACTACAAGTACGTCACAGCGCTCGGCGCCATGTACCTGCGCCTCACAGGCAAGCCCGTCGAGATCTACCCCGTGCTCGAGAACCTCCTCTCCGACTACCGCAAGGTGCGCTTCCGCAAGACGATGGGCTGGGACGTGCTGCACATGGACGAAGTCGCGGACCTCCTCTTGCGCGAAGAGTACTTTTGCAACATTGCGCTGCCTCGCTTGGTCGACCGCTTCCAGCTCGAGTCCATGAACCTCCTTCCGAAGCGCAAGAGCGCGCTCGACGAAGCGCTCCTCTCCGACGACGACGACGACGACAACGACGACGACGACAGCGATGATAACGATGACGACGATGACAATAGCGATGATCCGATGGGCGCCAAGAGTGTAGACGATAGTGCGGATGAGTAAGCTACCTCGATCACTTTGTCTCGACTCTCTTCGGCAAAGCAACGAAGGCTACCCTTGGACTCCTGCTGCTAGAGAGGCACCACTGCTCACCCCACACGCTCCGCCGTGTTCCAAGTAGCGTCACCTCGGGCTGCTTCACCAGGGGCGCAGATGGTATCGAGGTCGTACCGGTCCCAGTCGATGGATGTAGCCACGAGGAGCGTGGTGATGTAGGCTCTCTGGGGCCTGACCCCTCGGAGGCTGTGGCTGGCCACCGGCAGAACACTAGTGCTACCTAGTACCTTTGACGAGGTAGGTCGTGGCGCAAGGAGATAACATGCCAGCAGCAATGGCGTCGCCGTCGCCGCGCTAGGAGTGCGACAAACCAGAAAAATACACTGTAACAAACAGCGTATGGTCCGGATACGCGTCGTGACGCAACCTCCATCGGGCGGCGCGAGGTTGCAACGCGGTCTCGTCCGCGCCTGGTACTATGGACCATGCACGTGCTGCGCTGGTTTTGGCGCCACGACCAAGTCGTCCACTCGTTTTTGGCTGCCTATCATCCGCCACCGCAGGTGATTATCCGAACAAATTGCCGCCGCCTGTCTAACGGGGCGTGTCTATCACCATTTGGTCGTCGGTAGAATGACGATGCTCGAAGCGTCGGGCCACCCGTGGCTGCACCTGCTCGCAGGCGTCGCCGTCGGTCTGGCCGCATGCCTCGCCGCCTACGGCCTCTACGAGCTCTACCGACGCTGCACGCGCCGGCCCAAGCCCATCAACCGGTACGAGTCGAGCCACTTGCTCGCCCGCGCCGACATGGACTGGCCCGTGCTCATGCCCGACGTCGCGCAATCGTACCTCTCGCCGATCCCGGAAGAACGTCACAACGAAGACCTCGTACCGACGGCCTCTGCCAGCGCAGCACTCATGCAGCGAGATAGGACGAGACCGAGTCGGCGTACGGCATCGCGACGCGGGAAAAGGCCTTTTGCAAAGAGTATTGCGAGACGTCCACGTAGGCTCCGACGCACGATATAGAGTTGCTCACTAGTAGCGGGTAGGGCCTTTGACTGGCTCGACAAGCCTGCGCTGTACATGGGTCGGAACCGAGCCAAGCGGCTGTACCTCCTCGGCCAAGCCTCCTCGGGCGGCAACTCGTTCCACCACCGCTCGTACATGAGTTCGTTTCGAAAGCAGTACCTTCTGAGCATGTACCCGTCGCTGCCCACGGACGCGGCGACACTCTCGCTCCTGCAAGCGCTCATGGCGCAGATCGCGCTCTGCCCGCAGGTCGTACCGGTCCTCGACGTCGCGTACCTCGACCACGAGACGCCGCGCATGGCTGCGATCTCGCCGTGGATGAACCAAGGCTCGCTCAAGGACTACATCGTGCACCGCAGCCAGACGATGCTGCTTTCGGTGCGAATTCATAGCTGTACTACAGGCGCTAAGACGTCTCTGATAGATGCCGTACCACAAAAAGTTCAAGCGCTACGGCGTCGGCCGACCGCTCGCGTCGTCGGCGATTGCGCGCATGGGCCGCGACATCCTGCTCGGCATGCAGCAGCTGCAATCGCTTGGCATCCCGAGCTACCACCTGCACACGGGCAACATCCTCATGGAGTACGAGCAAGTGCGCGTTGGCGGCTACGAGGCGCTGCTCTTCCAAGCCGGGCGCCTCCAGAGCCCGATCAGCGACAGCGACGACAAGACGCTGCCACTCACGCTCTTTGGCCACGTGCTCTTTGAGATGGCGTTTGGCGTCGAGCTTTCGCGGAATCGACTCGACGACGACGGCCAGCCCATTTACGCCAATCTCCACCGCCCGTCCGACCGCGTAGGCGCACTTATGTGACGAACGTGGCCTTAGGATGCTGTAGGTGCAAGACGTGCTCGATGCAATCTTCCAGGACCAGCGCCACGGCCTCTCGATTGAATCGCTGTTGCAAATGCCTCTCTTTCTACCCCGCGCGCAGCGTCCGTCCAAGCTGCAGCGCCGCATGCTCGCGAAAGCCAGCGAGCCTCCGTCGCCCGTGCTCACCGAGGAGATGAAGACGTACGTTGAAGCGTGCGTCAGTGCCTTCCACGGCAGCCAGATGCCTGTGACTGCAAGTGCGTCCTCGTATTCGGACTGCAGCACATTCGCGTAGTATCCTCCTCTCCATGTTAACGACCGTGCTCGTCTTCTTCGCGCTTGGCTCATCATCGGATGGCCGATCTCGAGACTCCTATGGACCAAGTAGCATCGCATGTTGATCACCGCCCAACGAGCACCAATAAGTTATGAGAGAACATCAGTCGTGTGCTCCGTCAAGTGTAATCTCGTGCCACGTCATTTTGCTCGACGGTCGCCATGTCTAGTGTGGAATTTCCGGGTTTTTCTTACTTTTAACGGTAAAAACATGATATTTACGGATTTTGGAGGATCGTTTTGTGGCAAGACGTGGGCGGCTCAGAACACAGATGTCGGCGCAGGAGAACCACCTCAAGACTGCGGGCGTACCGCAGTACATCCACGCCGACGGCGCCGCCACAGGGCCCATCGCGCCATCGGCCGCGGCCATGGAGGCCTTCCGCGCCGTCAAGATGAAGCGCCAGTTCCGCTACGTCTTCTTCCGCATCGACGGCGCGTCGATCGAGGTCGACAAGTCGGCGCCACCGGCCGCGACGGCCGCGGACCTCTGCGTGGCGCTGCCGCATGCCGACTGCCGATATGTCATCTACGACCACGAGGCGACGCTGCCCGATGGGCGCAAGACGTCGAAGCTCTACTTTATTCTCTGGGCGCCGGCGACCTCCAACCCGCAGGCCAAGATGGCGTATTCGTACGCCAAGGGCAACTTCCGCGGCCAATGCGACGGCTGCTTTGACTTGAACGCGAGCTCAGCGCGCGACGTGGAGTTGGGCGTGGGTCTCGTCTCGGCCGACGACGACGACTCGGAGAGCGACTTTGAGTAGGCACGGCCAAAGCCAATCACACCCTCTAACTATAGATCTGTGTTTGACACGAGCCATTGCGTTGCTAATCGTGGTGCTGGTACGTGGCTCAGCCGTCGTGGGTCCGCAAGGACTCCAGTCTCTTCTGCCATCCCTCACCAAGTCGACTCCACGGCCTTAATGGCGCCTCTCACCAGACGACATTCCGATGGAGTTTGCTCGTCGCCGAGGCGCGAGGATGATTGCTGCAGTGCCTCAAAGGGAGCTTCCATCAGCAACCATACCGGTTTCCTGATCTAGAGATCGAGACAACGATCTCTGGCACTAAACGGCTGCAAGAGTCACCCGTTGTCCGCTTCGGCGGATGAGCTTCCGAAGCACGTTCACTGCCGCCAATGCATCTGCTCGGTCCCAAGACGAATGCCGCCCTTCACTCAAGATGATATGACGTGACCGCTGGTCGCATGCAGTGGTGGGGCCCTGGGTGTGAACCTAGCCCGGCATCACCACTTGGCCGGGACAAGGCGACGTGTGTTTGCACGTTTCGTCCTACGAGAGAAGCTTTGGGACTGTACAGTTTGGTCAACTCGATAATTTGCTGGTCGCTCGAACGTCGACCAGTGATTGATTTTTGGGGTCTGTGGCCACAGAAAAACTTGTGCCTTGCGATTTGTTCGATGGTTTTGCCCGAAACCTGTTGGGGGTGTTCCATTGGTTCGATAACTCATTTCAACAACATGTCCATAGCTGGATTTAACATGAAGAGATTTTAAACGGGCGCGGAAACAGGCAGCCAATCACATCGCGCTATGGGCTGAAAAGATACACGATTTCGATTCGCCAACGACCTGTTGCACTCTACAATGTATAAAACATTTGTAGAGTGTGTCGGTTACAGTGCTCAATGTCGACTTTTGTGCTCTGTTTTAAACACACGAATAGAATACAATACACGTGGAATGATTTTTACGATTTTCCCCAGTTGAGCTTTGCATCGGTCAAGTCACAGAGGGTACCTACCATCATGACGACCTTCCATGCCATGAAGGGGAAACTCACGTTCAGTGGGCTCGAGGAAGCGGTCGCTGTCTTCCGCAAGCGCCCGGACGACTGCCCCCTCGGTCCTCTCCTCATCGGTACTGCGATCCCGCTCCAGGCGTGGCTCCAGAGCTGGCTTCGTCAAGACTTCAAGTTTGTTAGCTTCTCCGAGGTCTTTCTCGGTCCACTCAAAGCTCCGTCAACCACAGCCGACGTGTACATCGACAAGATGGCGGAAGGTCCTACGCATCGGGTCGTTGTCGACGAGATCATTGGACAGATCGGCGGCTATTCCATCGCAACGGGCGAGATCGTGGAGTCCGGTGGTGGGACTTGCGTCCTTCATGGGCTGTTCCCAGACGGAAGACGAGCTCTGCGCTACCCGGACGCCCAGCTCGCCCCAAATCAGCTCGTGCCGGCCGATGGCGACGGCCTTCGGGTGCCACGATTTGTCGTCGAAGTCGACCATCGGCACCTCGGTCTTCCGAGAGCGATTCTGCGCGCAGAGCAGTACTTTCAGCTGCCCCAGCTCCGAACGGTGCTCATGGTACGCATCTACGAGCGCAACCTTGATACGGGCCGTTTCGGAGCGCTTGCAGTCGTCTACGCTCGTCGCCGAAACAATGCCGTGTATGCCCGACAAGCCGTCAGCATTGGCACCGCGGCGCTCTCGGCCGCGGCTTTGGTGCACGTCCCACAAACGATCCGACGCTTGCTGCAGCAACAGCCGCACGACGCTCGTCTGGCAGAGCTGGTGGACGACGGGTATTTGTCGTGGCCAGCACCACTGGGACCTGCACCGACGATCACGGTGCAGGCCACCGACATATTTTACCGAAGCCCCGGCCTGCAACTTGGGCCTCACGGACATGGTGCGAATC